TATAAGAGACAGGGTGGCCTCCCGGTGCTGGCGGCAGTGGTGGCAGGTTCTGACCCTAGCGGCTCCCCCAGCCTCCCAGGTACCGCGCTACGTCCGAGTCAACACCCAATTAGCCAGGGCGCGTCCCCCGCAAAGGGACAGGCGCCCCCCCAAAAAAAACTCCAAACAGCAAATCCGGCATAACCAACATGCCGCCACGCACACGGTTCAGTTCTTCCTCCAAACTCGGTTCAATGAGCGCAACAAAGCGGGGGCACGAATAAAGCAAAACAGAGGGGGCTTTAGACGAGCAGGGCAGGGGGGCACAGCCCAGTGGGGAGCACTGAGGTCTGGGGGTGCTGCTTGGTGGCCGGGAGAGGGGTGGAGGGACCCCCCCATCCCCACCCCATGCCTGCAGCCAAGGTCCTGAGCTACAGTGCGTCCTCAGCTGGGGGTCTGACAGGGGATTAAGTCACAGCGAGGGGGTCGTCACCCACAGCACCGAGACGCCCATGGCAGGCTGGCACCAGCCCTGGCTCCTGCTCAGCAGGGGTGGGAAGGAAGCAGAGCCCTCCGGAGGGAGCATGTTCACCAGACCACGGGATCAAATCATGGGGAAAGATTTCTGGGAGCTGGTGAAGACGGCAGCCCTCAGCAGCCTGGACCGCAGCCAGCAGGAACATGGCATGTCCCCAGCCGGGCTCTGAACGGGGACGTGTGGCTCTGCTGGCTGCCGTGCTGCAGGGCAGGGGGCTGGGGAGAAGGGCACAGGACAACTAGAAGAAGCAAATGGGGGGAAAACTTACACATTATGAAACATGGCAAAATAAAGTGAGGGAGCAAACGCTGCAAATATGTACAGAGGTTCATCCAGCTTTGGCTGTGGAACTGTTCAAGTAAGAAGAGTTTGGTTTATCCTGTCCCACCCTGGGTCACTGCCACCCGTGTGTGGGCACGGGCTCCTCGTGCAGGCCAGCAGTCCCAGAGGTTATTTTTTGCGGGTGTGCTGTCTCCGTGCCTGCAGCCGCTGGCGAGCACCCATCCTGGATCCTGCCCCGATGGAAAAGGCAGGGGTGGATGAACCTGGAAGCAGAAAGGTTGCTCAGGTCTCTGCAGACTCACTCTGAGCTGGCACAGGTATTGTAATACAAAATACATGGGTATTGTAATTCCCATCCTGGGGGGAACAGAAAGTTTTGCATCCCCTGGAGTCCAATAGGTACCACCCGAGCTCATTCCCAGAGCATGGCCTGGCCCTTCTGCCATCCCTGGCCCGAGGGGACACCCTGACCCATCCATCAGCTCTCCAAGGCTGAAGCACCAACCCCTTCCTTACCAAAGGAAGCACCGACTCCTCCGAAGCCCGAAGCAGGAGTGCTGGGCGTCCCGAAGGAAAGGCTGCTGTTTCCACTCCCCACTGCTCCTGGGACAGGCGTGCTCTGCCCGAAGGTGGGTGCAGGAGTTCCTGGAAAGCAACATGCCATCATGAGCTAGGGCCAGCAAAGGAGGAAGAGCCTGGCCTTCAGGAGCCCACGGCACCCACAGGAGGCACAGATGTCCCCCCACAGGCCAAAGCATCACAGTTCCCTGAAAGCAGCCTGTTCACCCAAGAAGCCCTTTTAATGCAAGAAGCTGCACTCTCATGGTAATCCCTGGGCTCTCCTGCCAGCAGGGCAGCACAGGATTTGTGGGCCAGGGAGGAACAAAGGGCTCTTTCTAGATCAAGTAGTTGCTCAGCACGTGGGTTTCAGCTCTGCGGGAGGTCAGACAACACAGCGAGGGTGCAAAGCAGTAAGGAAAACCTCAGAGAGCAAGCAAAAAGTGACTGCAATTGCTGGCTGGCAGGTCTTCTACTTGCCAAGAAGCTCCAGATTGCTTTTAAGCACTGGCAAGCCCTTCACTTCGGCAGGGCACCTGGCTGGGCTCAGCACTTGTGTGGAGCCAGGGAGCTGGTGGAAGGCCCAAGGAGCAGAAGTTAAGGATTCCCCTCCATCACCAAGGGCTGGGGATCAGGACAGTGAGTGATGGAAGCACCTTCCCTTCCCACAGCAAGGCTCTGCACAGCACAAGAACCAGCCCCTCTGGGCTGCTGAGCCTAGGGAGCTCAGCCAGGACTGTCAGGAGAGCTGCTGCCTAAATCCAGCCCTGCTCTTCACCACTCCAGAAGGCCCCTCCGCCCGCACTCACCTCTGAACACAGGACTGCTGTTGGGCATGGTGAAGGCGAAGGGCGTGCTCTGGTTCTGCGCACCCAGGGCACTCTGCGTCAGGGAAGAGCCGAAGGGCGATGCCGCCAGGGCTGCCCCGCTCTGCCCAGCCCCGAAGCTGAACGCCACGGCAGGGGAGCCGCTGCTCAGGGCGGGCGTGCCGATCCCAAAGGCGCTGGTGGAGGGGCCCGGCTGGGCGAAGGTAAAAGGAGAAGGAGTGGTGCCGAAAACAGTGGTGCCAGTGGTGCTGCTCGTGGTCTGCGTGGTGGAACCGAAGCTGGTGGTGGTGGAGGTGGCTGTCCCAAAAGAGAAGACCGATGTGGTGGTCCCAAAGGCCACCTGGGTGCTGCTGGTGCCAAAGGAGCCCTGGGTGCTGGCTGTGCCGAAGGCTGGCTGAGCACCGCTGCCAAACGCTGGCTGAGCAGCAGACTGGGCTGTGGGGGCTCCAAAACTGAACGGGGTGCCAAAGGTGACGGGGCCAGCAGCGGGCTTGCTGGCAGGCAGCTGGTTCTCCACAGCACCGGCACTGAAGGCAGGCTGACTCCCTGTGCTGGGATACGGCAGCAGCGGCTTTGCGCTTGTGCTGAAGGAACTGCCGAACGCTGAAATGGAGGGGCCAAATGTCAATGTCGCTTGACCTGTGGTGGTGGCTGGGGTAGAAGAGGTCAGCGTGGTGTCCCCAAATATGCTAAAGCCCACAGTGGTGGTAGGAGCTGTTGAATTTGAAGGTGCCTGGCCAAAGGCAGAGCCTCCTGGGACACTGGTGGTGGCAGGGACCGTGGCTGGAGGTGGCTTTCCAAACTGGAACATGGGCCCTAGGGTGGCAAAGCTGGTTTCCGTGCTGGGAGCTGAACTGGTCAGGCCTTGGAAGAGGAAGGGCTGTGACGTGCTGGTGGATGTGGCAGTGGTGACGGTCAGGCTGGTGGTGGGGCCAGTGGAGGCAGGAGGGTTGAGTCCGAAGCTGAAGATGGGTTTAATGGTGGCATCTGTGGAGGAACTCTGCATGGTGGCAGTTGTAGCCGCAGTGGTGAAGATGACGTTAGGGAGACCTGTGAATCCTGCCTGGGTAGTCGTGGAGGCTGCGGGCAGGTCTGTGGCCGAGGCTGGCTGTGACGTTGGTTCAAAGGTGAAAGGAGAGGCCACTGCTGGAGATGAAGCTGTGGTGACGCTGCCAAAGACAGGCTTGAACATGGTGGTGGTGGAGGATGTCGAGGAGGGGCCGGAGCTCGCAGACACAGTGACTGTGGTGGAGATGACAGCTGTACAGGGTGCTGTGCTCTCACTTTTCTGCAAAGTGCCAAAGATGGGTTTGAAGACAGGGCTCGTGGTGGGCACGGCAGCAGCCACGGTTGTTGCCGGCTGGCTGGCAGCAAGGGTGTTCACCACCCCGAAAAGGGTGCTTGGCTTTGGGAGGGAGGGAGGCTTGCTGGGGGTCTGGCCCAGCTCTGGGAACACAGGAGATGCCAGGCTGCTGGGGGCCTGCACCCCCAGGGCAGAGGGGGCTACAGGGGCAGGCGTGCTCAGCACAGGCACGGGCTTGGTGTCAGCAGAGGTGGTGGGCAGAGAACTTGACTCCAGTGATACAGCAGGAGCAGGTGGTTGTGCAGCTGGTGGAGGTGGCTGGGACACGACCTCAGCTCCAGTGGAGTCTGAAAAAGAAAAAAGATCATTTAAGGATAGGGGGTCACCTACAACCAGCC